AAAATGCTCATCGATGCTCGAAAATAGTCTGTTTATTCCATCATTAATTTAAATACTGCTCTAATTAGATCGACTTTTCTAATGTTTTCGTAACTTCAACTGAGATTGAATGATATCGTCGGGTTTTTTTGATGGATAAGAACCCTGATCAGAAAACAATAGGTCTAGTTGATCTCGAGTTCCAATCATGATTTGTACCTTTAGTCTTCTACTATGTATAAACTTTTTATTTTTTATTTTTTTGTTAGAATTGATCATTGATTTTGATACAAAAGTTAGCTTAAGTCGCAGGGATACTGACAAATTTTATGGACAATTATATTCACTCATATTTTCGTCAAAATGTGTATTAACTAGATGTTTCTTGAGATGTCATTACATGATATCAACTGGCACTGTTCAGATGTCTGAAACGGTCAGTTTAAAATATTTAAAACTAGAACTATACACTTTTTATCAGTTATTCGTCTTATTAAAATTCACGCCGAATTTAATCGATTTAAACGTCCACATTATTGATTGTACATCCGTATGGGTTGAACAATATCAATACGATGAGTGGAAAACAAAACAAATTACATTTGATTATTTAAAACGATTTACATTCATAACACATATGATCGTTCCTTTTCTGACTCCACTAGAATTCCTATTAAATCAATCGTTTTTAAAATTAACATTTTTATCATTATCATTTAAGTATCGAGTACATCAGTATAATTATAGTGGATTGCTAACATTACGAGACGGGGGATTTTACATGGAAACAGTTTTATTGAAATCAATCAAAACAACATTACAAACCTTGCAATTTTCCATCCAATTAACGTATGTTTACCACTTCTTCTCTTTTGAATAAAATCAGAGCTTGACTTAGAAAAATAGTATTTTTTCTTCGTTAACACGTTGGCTGTTAATGTATCACGTCATCATGTAAGTTTTTTAGCGGCGTGATAGACTGGCAGCCAACGTGTTAAGAAGTTTTGAGCCCAGAAGTTTAATTAAGTAATCTCTTCAAAAGTTTTGATCGTAGAAAGTGAAACAATGGACTTTTGAATAAGAATTGCATAAAATCGTACGTTACCATCAAAATTCAGTTCAATCAGAAATCGTCTCACGGGTGGATAAAATAAAACTGAACATTTTTGTTCTTTGATTCAAAACTAAAAGAAAGTTTGAAGAAATCGTTGTAGGTCCAAGTGACAGTTAATTTGCTGCTCTGAAAAACTATCTGATGTTCAAATATAAAAGTAATGCTGATTAAAGACAGGTGAGAAACATAACTTTGACGGAAAGAGTAGATCGTGATTTTTTTTGTACTAACCGTAGAGAATGCCCAATTTGTCTGATCTTGAAAGCAGAATGAAGGCTTATTTACTTACAGGTGAAGTTTTCGTGTTTTCCTTTTCCTGTTCTGGCCAGCTCCAAGATCAGAACACGAAAGTGATAAGACCAAATCAAGATTGTCTATTTTTTCTACTGATCAGCCAAATTGCAAGTTAGTCTGGTCTTGACTTTTTTTGTCTGATCTTGGTATTTTCTGAAAAACAGATACTGGTCAGGTTCAAGACCAGAGCTAGGTTATTTTTCATAATCACAGTTTTGTTTTGCTAACGAGAGAACCTTTCGAACTGTTACCTGGCTTTTTTGGTCAAACCCGTTGGGTTATAGGTATTCGACCACACTGATTCCGAATAAGAACATGAGAACTGCCCTTAGGCCTTCGAAAGCCCAGTTTTCTGGAAAACCAGTTTTTCAGAAACTCTAAAAATTAACCAAAACCTTTCTTTATGAGCCATGATTGTAGCCTGCAATTTTTTGAGTAAATAAGAACAGAAGTTATCATCTTATTCGTGTTGTTTCTGAATAAAATCATGTTTATTGTTGTTGAAAATTTTTTCAGAAGTGGATCCTAGTGATAAAAAATGTAAGCTCTCATGGGCTCTGAAGAATCCCAATTTGGTTCCGACGCAAGCAGCTTTGTTGCTGAGATATTGAATTTTTACTCGAATTTTCCCCTTGGGACCTGGATTTCAAGCAGTAACGGAGTTTTGAATTTCATGTTGTAACGTATCTTATATTGTAGCCCAGGCCAATTGTAGCCCGATGAAAAAGAGCCGAGCTGAAAATCTCTTCGTAGCGGTGAAAGAACTTTTCCCATATGGCTACCAAAGGTAAAACATGGAACAAGTTTTGAAAAAGTTCTTTCACCGCTGCGGAAAGAGGTTTTCGGCCCTTTTACATCGGGCTACAACTGGCCTGGGCTACAATATGTGATACGTTACAACAACTCCGTTTTTGCTTGAAATCCAGGTTTCATGGGGAAAATTCGAGTAAAAGTTTGATATCTCAGCAACAGAGCTGATTGCGCCCGAACCAAGTTGGGCCTATAGGCCATCATGGCCTACATTTTAAAAATAGTTCTATTCAAAAAGCTTTTTAGCACCTCAGGAGGTTCCCTTGTTAGTAAGATTTCGCTTACCTTTGCCTAAGATCTTACGTTAGTTATATCTCCTAAGATCCTCAAACGAAAAAATTCTAAGATTTGATAAAATTTATCTATATCAAGATATGGGTTAGTTTGTCTAAAATTTTTAAGATTCGGCGACAGTCTGTTAGGATCTTACTAATGATGGAAGCGCCCCACGTTGCAAATCGATTTTTTCGATGAAACTAATGGGGTTATGCGTAATCGATTGTGCTGATTCTGAATATAATGGTCACACCAACCCTTATCCTCTCTGAGATCGGTTTTCGACAGTCAAAAGTTTTTTTCTTAAAATTTATTTCTGATCTGTGTAGATTATAGAGCATTTCTGGCTCTCTTAGAGCAAGAAAGGGTTAAGTACAAGAAACAAATTTCACAGGACAAACGTTCGCTCAATTTATACGCTTAATAATTCTGAAAAAGATTACTCAAAAGTTGAAAAGTCATTAAAATCTGGCATGTGTGTCGTAGTTATACATATAGCTGTCCTTCCTTACGTTTGGTAAGCAGAAAAACTTTGTAGAGCAGAAAACTTTTCTCTAGCTTTTGAGTCTAGAATGCAGGTTTCAGTGTTCTTAAAACAGAATTCAAAACTCGTCCATTCTTCATGGGCCTCTTGTTGTGCGCATTTGTTTTCTTATGTGTTATCGGCTGGTGGGATGTGTGACATAGATAAAGCTCGGTAGTTTTGCGTTATACTTATAGGATTCGGGATCCATTAAATGATCTAATTGAAACGTTTAAAACAAGTGATTACTGGAAACATAGTCATTGGCAAATTGACTGGGACCTTGTCGATGTTGACTGCTACCACTTTTATACAATACCGTTTGCATTTACACATTTATCGAGTCTTAAAATGGATGAAAAAAAGATACATTGTAATTTTTCGTCAAATGTTCGAAGTGTCACAATCACACATCCTCAAGAAATGTGCAAAACGTCTCTTCTTAAAAATTTGAATCATGTTCATATCAGAATTGGACGTCGTGATTCGAATAAATTATTTATTGAACCGGAAAGAGATTTTTCGGTTACAACTAGAGGTGTAACAATCGAAACAAATGATGTTGTTTTCTCATTCGAGAAAACACTTCAGTTAATTATTAATTGTTATAATATGAATAATCTTCAACATTTCGTTACAAGTGGTACAAATCTTTCAAACCTATTTCGAAATGAATCATGCATCAGGTAGGAATTAATGGAGCAACAATAAAACTGATGGTATCTTTCTCTCTTTTCAGTTTAGCAGTAATCGATTTATTTAACAATGTAAAACAATTAAAGTTATTGGGCAGTGATTTAAAAATGATTGATATTTCTCGATATTTTCGTCAACTTCAAATTTTAATATTTATTAAACAACGCTCTAAATCATTTGAATTTGACATAAATAACGAAATGACTGTTCTTGCAAGAGACATGAAACAATTAATTTATTTGGATATATGTTCTGTTATACATGTTTTACATGCCACTATTCTAAATTTCAATCCTGATTACGATCGTTCAATCATCGAACAAATAATGATGCAACATAACCGTTTCCCATATCACTTAGAAATTCAACCAGAGCGAATGAGACTGCAGCTGACTCAGAAAGAACCATTTTCTGTTGGATCTCAAAGATGAACGGTTACTCGGCTTACCGGTACCGCGAAATTGTTTCTCTTTAACATCACCGCACTAATTTTGAATATGGATGATACTATAGATACCATCCGCAAAAAAAGATCTGGACAGGTAAAGTAGGTTTTCGATTTTTATTTTTATCTGATTTATTTCGATGTAAAACGTAAATCTATTAGAAAATAGCTCTGAAATGTGCTTATATCATTTTGTGGTTTGAAATAGTAACTATTTGCATGTATTTTGTTTGCTCAGATAGTGACGTTTAGTAGTATTTCTTCCATTATTTCATTGTGCTCTGCCCGGTTCCGTTCATATCGTCTGATATTGTTCTCGAAGGTGCATTGTTAAACATTATCTCTATTTCACCGTACAACAAATTCAGATATTCAGAAATAATTGTTGAACGATGATGAATAACTCGATTATCATCAACAGCGGCTTCGAGTCTCAATAAAGTTTTTCCGAATGACTCGATGGTATCTTGATCTGTTGCTACAAGTATTTTCATCATATATTTAATCGCTTCGATATCATAATCTTCGAATACATCTAGCCGATCATCTTGATCAAAAATTAATGTTTGTGAATGAAATACATATTCAGGAGGAATGTTGAAAAATTTATATTGGACTATGCACATCTGTCTGGATACATTGACAGCGACAGATGCTGCAGCAGTGATCATGCCGAAAGTGTCATCTGAGCCATACGGTCCCACGATACATACTTGATTTATGATAGCTTGTAATAATGAACGATCATTTAACACAATCGAGATGTACTGTATTGCATTATTCACAAATTTAGAGCATGGCTCGTTTTCTTTAACCGAAACACCTCCGACAATGATCGTTTTTGTATTTTGCAATACTATTTCTGGAAATTTTGCTTTCATCAATTGTCAAATCAACATAACAGACATAATCGTTTACTGCTTCTATACCCTGAAGATCGTATTCGGGTTTTACCGTTGTGCCATTATTACTAGCAATTTCCATTAATTCCGTGATAGCATCATATTTGTTGGGATATGGTCGCATTATACCAACGTGTTGGTGCGAGAGAATACATTGTTGTTTTCCCTCGATCGTGAAGTAAACTATAATACCGAGACAACTTGCCAAACCATCCGTTGCTATAAAATCTTCTGAATGTGATATATGACCTTGTGGTACTACAGACATAACGCTATTGTTCCATTCTGGGACTTGAACATGGTGATTATCAATAAAATTGAATCTATCTGTCAAACTCATATCTCGAGCAAATAGGAAAATGGCACCTAAATAATAAAGTCATACAAATAGCATCATCAATGGATTAAGAAAATATATACAGATTCTTCCACATATATCTGTCCACTTCATACACGAGTAGAAGTAGGCTAAGTTTCACTATGTCCATAACGTAGAACATCATACGTCACTATGCATTTTCAGTTGTTCAAGTTGTACGGGTGTTTGACAATTAATAATAAAAAATGAAGGAGGCGAAAATACAAGCAGAAAGAAAACAAAAAACGACTTACCGGATTTTTTTAAAAATAACAAACAAAAACGAAAAGAGAAATAAAAAGAGAACGTACAGGAGAATATATATATGCGTTTCGAATTATCTTTATCAGTAAATGATAGTGAAATGGTGATTGCTATTGGAATGAACGCATCTTATATACATTTTCTGAACAAGCACTGTAGAAATAGACAGACGAGTAGAAAAAAGAAATGGAGATATTGTACAAAGGGAGAGTGAAATTTATGAAAGAATTTCCTGAAAATGAGATGTTTTCAAAGGGAGAGTGAAATCTTCTGCATGCAAATAAAGATGTTTTTCAAGAGAATGAAATTTTTTTTGTTCATTACGGCGCTCTTCCAGTATATATAACCGAAAAATTACGGATGATATATCTACAGTCCATTTATTAAGATGGTAAATTGTACAGCGGAGAAAGAACAACACCGGTAAGTCTGAAATATATATTTTTTAGAAACTGTGTTTTCTGTAAAAATGGAAGAATTTAAGGAAAACTTATTGGGCTTATATTAAAAAGCGCAGAAAACGCTTAGATTTTGGCAAAAAACTGCAATTTAGAAAATTAATTTGATCATAACAAGTGATCGCGGTAGAGATGTGAACAGTACAAAAAGAAAGAGGAAAAACCCATCAGATCATTTCGACTATTCTACGAAGTAAAAGGTTGCTGTTGTAAAATGGTGTATAGATAACGAAAGAGGAAGATGGAGACGAGACGTACAGGCACAGGCAGGTGTATAGAGCAGACATGTGGACGTCGTATACATTCAGGAGAACAATGCACGTTGTCTACACAGCCATTTCTTCGTTTTTAACGTACTATGAAGATGAAGACCATTTTTACTCGCATTTTTTGCAGGTTTTAACCAGCGTTTTGTTATTGATTTGTCATAAAAAAG